ATTTCTGGCTGGGAAAGAGCAGCCCTGCGCTGCTATGTCACCTTGTGAGAGTGTCAGAGGTGCTCTCGGTCCGCGTCGGAGTACCCTCACCTTCCCTGGCCCTGTGGGCAAAGGACACCACACCTGCAGAGCTGTCTGCAGCACCCAAAGGGTCCCAGAGGTTAACCCCTCCTTGAGCGTCCAACCCTCCCCTCTGCCTAAAAGTGGATTTGAGGCATGTTTGCCCCTGCAGCGAGGTAAGGAACAAGCAGAGGGAAACCTCAGGTTTCTATTGGAAAGTGCCTGTTGGTCTTTGCTGTGGACGGACTGCATGTCTCTGAAGTAGTCTTTCCATCGAGGCAGTGGTCGCTTAGGGGGCTTGGTTTAGTGTTTGATGTTTTACTGTAGTCTCGCAGAGCAGGTTCCCTCAGATGTGGAGGTGTTCGGACGAGGTTTTGCAATATCGGACGCTAAGCAAAATGTTGATTTTAAAAATATTTTTTTTTCCACGTGTCCCTGAAGCTCAGAAATTTGCCAGACACAAGGGGAATGAGGCTGAAATAACTTGGTAAAACATCCCCGCTGGAAAACTTGCCCTAGAATTCATATGCTGTTTTCTCACTGCCCAGTGTCGGGGATCTCTGCCAGGGTCGATTTGACTGATCTTTGCCTGTGACTCAGAACAGAGATGTGTTGGGAACCTCTTTGTTTTTTTTCCTTTCGAAAAATGAAGTGAAAGTTTATCAACCTGTAGAGTTACAGGAGAGCTCGGCCAGCCAAATGAGGAAGTAAAACCTTCCTATAAAATGAGCTCTAACCTGCTCACTGCACTTGTTTGCTCTCGGTTGACATCAGCATTGCCATAAAGCCTGTGGATGTGGGCTGATGACTTCCTTGTGAGCCCGGTACTTCTCTGAATCCAGCACCTGGCTCATGAGTGGTGGGACAGTATTGCTGGGACACAGAAATCACAGCTGTCAGGTAAGGTGCAGAGCAAGTGGGGATACCTGCGAGGCCGGGTCGCTCTCTGGGGTGTCTGCTTTTGTTGGTTTTGACAAAAGTAGCAGGGAAGGTGGGGAAGAAAAAGGCAAATCTTTTCTTAGTCATCATGACAACAAATGACTGGTCTTGTTATTAAGCATTTGTGTGCATCTGTGATTTGTGAAAGAAAAACTTATTTTTCTGAAAGCAGAACAGCCCATCTTCTTTCAAAGAAGCAGCTCATGGAAAGGCTCAAATGATCTTGCAGGCTGAGGTGGTTGCAGCGTGATTCTCAGCAACAGAGGAGGGAGAAGAGGTGGCCCAGACCTAAGGTGTGAGGGGGAACACTGGCGGCAGGGAGCTGTTGCCGCAGTCCTGGCAATACTTGGCACGCACACCTGGTTTAGAGAAGACTCCAACCTGCTCTGCCTTGACCAACGCCAGGTCTGGCTGGGGCCGTGTCCCCGCTGCCCCTGTGTGGATGGGACGAGGCTTCATTGGGGGTTTTGAGGACCCCCAGCTCCCTCTGAGTCAAGCTGGTCCTTATTATGGTTCTGTGGCCTGAGGCCACTGGAGGTGCTGCCTAAACAGAAACCTTCGGGGCACCCCGCCTGGCTCTGGCTGTTTACGAGAGAAGCAAAGACCTGGCAGAAGGACTAGGCAGAAATTATTCTTTTAAGTCATTCAAGATGAGGAACTAGAATATAACCACTACTTTTTTGGAAAGTTTTTACAAAAATTTCAAATTGCTATTTTCTCATCTTCCAAATCTGTCAAAATACAAAAAAGACAGAAGACCTTGACAGTTGTCTCAATATTTTGATTAAAAGTAATTTTTTTAAATAGCTAAAATGTTAGGATTAAAATAGAATTTTGGAAACATGACTAAAGCCATTCCCTCTGTGTGTGTATGCACATGCATGTAAGCAAGAGGGAGCACAACACCACAGCCAGCCAGGGCGCTTTTTAAGCTAGAACATAGGATAGGCACACGATTACCTGTGAATAAATTTAGCCTGGAAATGAGAAGACTTTGGCTCTCGGTGAAGGGAAAACAAGAACAGCTTCCCAACAGGCTCTGCTGAGGTGACAGGGGAAAGTGGCAGGACGAAAATCTAGGTGGTTTGGACACGAAGGTCATAAAATTTGTAATTGGGATTTCACAACCTGTTTGTCTGTGATAGCAAAAGCTGGACTCTGTGATGCACAAATTCTCCTCTTGTCATGTATTTTTGTGCTGGTTCTAAGCACCCAACTGACCTGCTGGACTTGAGCATGCTACTCACTGTTCACTAACACGTAAGCTAGTGATTTTGTTATCCTTTAACCCTCTCTTTAGAAGGGTGACCTCAGTGTTAGCTCTGACCAAGGATTTTATCTCACAGTTGCAAACTCGTTCTCTCTGCAGTGAAAACCCTGCAGTCACAGCATTACTGATTTTCAATATTTGGTCGAACCGCAGCAGAAATCCAGTGGTTATCTAGGCAGAGCTAGCATGTTGCCGGTGATGGCTGATACTGCGTCATATCAACCCCAGGCAGCAGCCCAGAGCTCAGCGCTTCCCATGCGTTGCCTTGGCTCACCAAGCCAAAGGGCGCACGGAAGGGCCAAGCCTGGAAACACTGTCTCTGCGTGCCAGGGTGCAAAGTGCGCAGATGTGGACCACGGGCTCGGGGCTTCCTGGGGTGGGGCTGGAAAAGTGATGTGGTGAGCAGTCTTCATCCAGCATGTGCTCGCGTGTGCTGCTGTCACCGCATGCGAGACAGATGTGGTCTCTGCACCCTCTGCAGCTGGAAAGCTGGCTGGTAGAATTCTGAAGGATCTAATTGAACCTACTTTCCGAGGAAATCCAGGAGAAACATGCACACAACGCAATGTGATGCTAATATGGGAAATTGCTCTGATATGTATATAAAAAAAGCATCAGAATATATAGAAGTACAGGTCTAAAAAATAATAGTGACAGCTATTAAAATATGTGTTAAATGTTTTCATTTCAACCTGAGGACAGATAGCAACTGAAATTCTTCACTTACAATAATTCATCAAAATAATCTAGACATAAAATCAAATCAAGTAGTGCGTGTTAAGTGTTTGGAGCCACTGACTACACACCTGGAAGCGGGGTTTGCTACATCACTAGCCTATGTGGCAGCTTCAGCTACATTCGGTTAAAAAAGATGCATTAATGGATTTCAGTTCAGAGAGTAGTTATTTCAAAGCTGAGAAACCATTTCAGTAATGAAAAAGCAGGCAAATACCTTTTCATCTTTAGTCCATGAATTAAAAACAAAGATGAGATATAAAAACTGCTACACTTGTGGAGTGCACTGTGAGGAAAACCAGTCAAGCCCACAGGCTAAAATAAGCAACATTTTGGTTTAGATAGAAAAACGTACATACTAACTGCTTTCCCCTTATGTATGTAAGGTGCTTTTTATTTTGCTGATGCTGTTTGTCACTTTTAAGAGAGTGCCAGATTTATTCCGGAGAATAATACCTGAAAGTTATAAGGCTACGTAGAAAAGTAAAGATCAAAGTTGT